GAAGAGAAGAAAAGAGGAAAAGAGGAGAAAAGAAGAGAAAATGAGGAAGAACCCTAAGGTGGCTACAATCAATGTAAGGGGGATAATACTTGTTATTATGGGTTTGTATATGATTGGATAATGATCAGTAACATGAAATAGGATTGGGTATGTTAATTTCTAGGCTTTGATTCACCCAATTTGATTTAGGGATTTGGAAATTAGGTTTGTGAAATCTAGTTTTTATGATACAAATAGGTTACCTATGATATATACATGCTAGAATATATTTGTTTGGTAAAATGAGCATTAGAACATGTCTCTATGATGATTTTCATGCACAAGTCAGTAGAAGTTTGCTGCAGATTTTTCTGTATAACGCGAAGCACACTTAGCGCGAGTAGGGCCGCTCAATGCGGGTTCCTGGATATAGAATTTCTATTTTTTCATGAATGGATTATGGGTTTGCATACTTATGAATTATTATTAGTTTACATGAATTTTAATAATTTATTCGATGTGTTTTGAATTGATTTTGGATGCGCTTCGATGAATGCATGACACTTGATTTTAGTATATGTATGTTGTATTTTGGTGATTGTTGAAAATGACATTGGTTGGCTTATACGTTATATGTTATTCGTGAGTTGTGACGATGATTAATACTATGTAAATGTATTGTTAACGATGTTTATATGATACATGATGTTTGTGCAATTGTTGGTGGACAATTTAATTTGTTGAATTATTGTGATATGTTTGGATGATTAAGATTATGAGATGGTCTTAATTTCATATGTTCATTGGAAATTGCACATGCATTCATGGGGAGATTGAACCCCGATTGGTTGCTTTGATCCTTGTGTGAAAATAGAAGCGGTGGACTATACGTTCATAATGATGGGCTTTGATCTTGTTTGGATCGGAAGCGTGACTCTGATTTTAGATATGGAACCGAGAGCGAGGTGAGCTTGATGTTCACGTGGATACCACATGCATGAGTCGCATTGAGTTACATTGGAAGTCTCATGAGTCATTATATGATATTGTCTCAAATCACATTATGTGATAATTGGTAAATTGTACATGAATGTTACGTTGGTGGTAATTGTGCTATATGCGAGCTATACGTGTATTCATATACTTGTAATGTTTCTATATTGATTTCTTTGATACTTGAATTGTCAAGCTATGTTGTATGAATGATCATTTGAACTGTGGAGAATTCTTTTGATGAATGTTGTTATGCATTACTCTATATTATATATATATATATATATATATATATATATATATATATATATATATATATATATATATATATATATATATATATATATATATATATATATATATATATATATATATATATATATATATATATATATATATATATATATATATATATATATATATATATATATATATATATATATATATATATATAATGATTTGAATTCTCACCCTTCTATTGAAATGATGTTCTATGCGATATCGTGCAGGTACCGAAGATAGTAGTGCTTCACACGAGGATAGTTGAGGAGCTTAGTTCAGTCTATTCACTTGTTTAGGTAGTTAGTCAATACTCTGGTCATGTAACACTGGGGGATATTTTGAACTCATGTTTGTTGTTGAGAGATATTGTTATACTCTCATATTTGTTATTTGTATGTTGAGTGGCCTTGGTGTCCAATGTTTGGATTCATATGACTTGTTATGTTATGAATTGGTTATTATGTTGGCTTATGATTATAGTATGGGATATAATAATAATTATTATTATTAATTAAGTAAAAAATTATTCCGCTGTGATGTGCATAGTTTGTGGAAACATGAAGTTTAAATATGTGCTATGATTATGATCAGGTGTATCTTTGTGTTGATATTGTTTTGTGTTTTTTTTTGTAAACACATGTGACACCCTTTTGCGTTATGCATGCTATTTTACTCTAATTATGTTATAAAGTGTTTGGGGTTAGAAAAGGGTGTTACAATTAGACTTGAAATGAGTCGTCGAGGTATCTAGTTACTGTTGAATAATACTTCATGTCCGCTTTGTGAGTTGGAGGTTGAATCATAGGATCACCTTTTTGTCGGGTGTAGTAAGGTGGCTCATTTGTGGAATGATGTCTTTCTTTGGTTGGGTATGGATTTTGCTATGGAATTTACTTCTTTGGAGGATGTTTTGGTCTCTTTGTCTGCTTCCATTAGTCTTTCTTTTGTCACTTTTTTTTTTGTTGTTGGTTGGTTGGTGTGTGTGGTTAGGGGTAGAAATAAGGTTGTGTTTGATAAAGGTGTTTGGAATAGTGTTAAGACTTTGATCTTTATTAAGAGGTTGGGTTGGGATTGGCTGTCCATCATTCCAAAGGTCGTGATGATTTTCTTTTGGAAATTTAGTTCACTAATCCGGGTTTGTAGCTTCTTGGTTTTTGGGTTTGGTTTTGTTGGCCCTTTTCCTTTTGTATTGGGTTAGCATCCCTTGTTCTTTTTAATAAAAGTGACTATAGGGGAAAAATATGAAGCGCCTGACTAGTAACCAAGGGCTTCCATCAACAACTTGGTTTTAACTATAATGAGACCGTTTATCATGTGCTTAAGGCTTCAACTATAAGAGTCACCCTTACTTTTTCAATCACACATAAATGAGAACTACAACAGTTTGACATCAACAATGTGTTCCTCAATAACTCATTGCAAGAATAGGTGTACATGCACCAACCTTCTGGATTCACCAACTCTGACAATGTTCTATTTTTCCAGTTTCGCAATTCTCTTTATAACAAGCACAAAGAAAGTGGTATGAAAAGTCCAACAAACCTATTTTAGTTTGGTTATGTCAAAAAAACGTGACCACTCCCTTTTATTTTAATCTTATCAGTGCATCATCATATATGCTTTAGTTTATGTAGATGATATCTTAATTACATGATCCTCTTCCAAGTTGGTATGTAACCTTACCAACAAATCTCATCTTAAACTTTCTCTAAAAAATCTAAGAACAGTTGAGTACTTCCGTGACATTGAAGTTAATATCATGCCCAAGGATCCATTCTATTGTCCCAATCCTAATACATCAAAGATCTATGTGGTAAAACCAATTTGATGGATGCTAATGGAGTCCTTACACTAATGCTCAACAATCTCAAACTAAGCAAGCATGGCATAAATACTTTCTCAAATCCTCATTAATACATATCAATTGTTGGTGGCATACAATATGTCATTTTCACTAGACCTGATATAGCCTTCAGTGAGAATAAGAAATGTGAGTTCATGGCTTATCATCTTATCTCATATTGGTCTATTGTTAGAAGAATTATCGGTTACTTAAGTGGAACATTCAAATATGATTTAAATTTTCTTCCCTCAAATACTCATAACAAGTTTTCTCTTAGAGCCTACAACGACAATGATTGGGTAGTGACATTGATGATAGAAGATGAACTTATGGTTCATGCATTTTCTTTGGTCCAAACTTGGTTTCATGCAGTTCTAGAAAGCAATATCTAGTTGCAAGATCAAATGAAGAGACCGAGTATCAGACTCTTGCATACACTACCTCTAAACTTCTATGGTTAGAGTCTCTCTTGTCTGAATTGTGCATTCCATTTTTCCTTCTCAATTTGTTGTGTGACAATCTCAGTGTTGTTCATGTGCCACACAACCCTATTCTACATGTTTTCACAAAATACGTTGAGTTGGTCATTCATTTTGTTATAAAACGAATATCCTTCAAAAAGTTGGTTGTCCAACATATACTTGCTTCCCTCCATATAATTGACCCACTCATCAAATCTCTAAACACCACTGTTTTTCGAGATCTCAGAGTCAAACTCAAAGCGGAATTACAAGCATTAATCATAGCAACTCACTAGTCTAGAACTTAGTTTAAATAGTAACATGTATTTTAAACATTGATTAGTTTGTTATTACATTTAGAAGTTTGTTAGAAATTCAACCAACTTCAAAATTCATCTATATATTGGAATGCTAGACTAGTTGTAAAGATTCAACAATATAAAAGAATAAATATTAACAACGGTTAGAGTGATTCTTAATTTAAAATATATAGAGTTTGTTTCTGTAGAGGTAGGAGAAGATTGAAAGAAAAAACAAAAAGGAAAAAGAAAAAAGGAAAAATTCAAGTGATAGAAAACCTTGGAGTTAACCCTCGAATCCTTATAAATTTTCTTCTCTATCTTGAAAGATATGAGAGGAAATCAATTTTTTTTTAACTGTGGTATATATTTTAAAAATATCAATACAAAGACATCATATAGACATTTTCTCCCTTAGATGTATTTTGTAATAGAAAAAAGTATAGCAACTGGATAATGTAAATAATACCTTCAATAAAAAAAATCTACTCTGCTGAATCACATTGTTTTTATATTTCAAAAATATGACCCGAAGTGATAAGGCAGAAAGTCAAGTAAACGAGTATCTTCCAAGCATTGATATATTAGTATTTATAATCCTTTCATAAGAAAAAACAAATATTTGTCATGATATTTAGTCAATAAGAATCCAACCCTGCCACTATTTTGCAATTACTTTAAGAAATAATTCAACTTCTACAACCAAATCACCACAATGCAGGTTTCTTCTTAGAAATTGTTCAAAAAAAATGTAATTTAATTTTAAAATAACAACCTATTTACGAAGGCTGATTAACTATGTGTTTCTCGCAAAATTGCATATTTATGTTCAGTTGTTTCTAATATTCTTGGGTCAGATCATTCTATATATGATTTTGTTCTGATTTCAACTGAGTTTTCGGAAATAAATTATAAAACTGATTTTTAAATTAGTCTATCGTAAAATCAGATATTAAATTTTCCAAAAGAAATATAAAAATAATTAAATATGTGGTTAGAATTCTCTTAAAGAAAAGTTTTATCGTCTATTATAATTCTCTCTTATTGCATGTGATGCTACATTGATTGCTTGTTTTAGGCTCTTCATATATATTACGTTATCATAACAATATCACATCTCATTCTCTTGAATCAAAAAACAACATGCATATCTTTCCCTTCATTTTCACTCTCTTCTTCTTCTTCATCATCATCACCACCAACATCTCCTTCATCCTAGGACAACAACCATACATTGGGCTATCCACAACAGCATGTCCTCGAAAAGGCGACTCGAAATCGATCCGAGGCTACACATGTAACGGCCAAACTCACACATGCCAAGCATACCTCACCTTCAGATCTCAACCAATTTACAGTTCAGTTTCAACAATCTCATCATTACTAGGCTCAAACCCTTCTCATCTCGCCGAAATCAACTCGGTTTCCTTAAACGAAACCTTCGAAACAAACAAGATGGTAATTGTTCCTGTCAACTGTTCTTGTTCTGGTAACTACTACCAAGCAAACACATCCTATGTTTTTCAAAACACAGACACTTATTTCCTAGTTGCTAACAACACTTTCGAAGGTCTTTCAACTTGTCAAGCTTTGATGCATGAGAATCATAACCCTGCTGATGTATATCCCGGTAGAAAATTACTTGTTCCTCTTAGATGTGCTTGTCCTACAAAGAACCAAACTGAAAAAAACATTAAGTATCTCTTAAGCTATTTGGTTAATTGGGGTGATTCTGTTTCACTCATTAGTGAAAAATTTGGTGTTAACTTCAAAACCACTCTTGTAGCTAATACACTTACTTTAACACATTCTACAATTTATCCTTTTACAACACTTCTTGTTCCTCTTTTTGATAAGCCTAAAAGTTCTCAAATTCAAACTGTTTCGGTTTCACCACATCAACAACCTTCTCCTTCATCAACCTCGCCTACCACCGATAGAAAATCGAAAAAAACTTTGGTTTATATTGTGGTTGGAGTACTTGGAGGACTTGTAGTTATAGCTTTAACATTAATTCTATGTGCTTTAATTTTCTTCAAAAAGGGTAAAAAGAAAAATGATTTTTTGGTGAATGTTTCGGAGAGTACTAGTTATTCGGCGAAAGAGAAACCTGTGAAGAAAGAAGAAGAAAAATTGTTAGAGATTATTATGACTGGTATAGGCCAATCTTTCAAAGTGTATGATTTTGAGGAAATTAAGGTTGCAACAGATGATTTTAGTCCAAGTTTTTTGATTAGAGGTTGTGTTTATCGCGGTGTTATTAACGGGGATTTGGCTGTGATTAAGATAACAGAAGGAGATGTTTCAAAGGAGATACAAATTCTCAACAAAGTTAACCATTCTAATGTTATTCGCCTTTCGGGCGTTAGCTTCAACGAAGGACATTGGTATCTTGTTTATGAGTATGCTGCAAATGGATCGTTAAGCGATTGGATATTTTCTAAGAACAAAATGAGTGATGAGAAGTTTCTGAGTTGGATTCAGAGAATCAAGATTGCATTGGATGTTGCAAGAGGAGTTGAGTATCTGCATAGTTTCACTTCACCTCCGTATATTCATAAGGATCTTAAGTGTAGTAATGTTCTTCTCGACAACGATTTCAAGGCAAAGGTTGGAAGTTTAAGGCTTGCAAGGTGTGTGGGTGGATTGGATGATGATGATGATGAACAATTTGTTGCTACAAGACATATTGTTGGGACAAGAGGTTACATGGCACCAGAGTATTTGGAAAATGGAATTGTTTCTGCGAAGCTTGATGTTTATGCATTTGGTGTGTTGATGTTGGAAATCATCACAGGGAAAGAGGTTGCTGCTATTTTGACAGAAGATAATGAGAATCTGATAGACTTTTTAAGTGGTAATGAGAAGGTGAAGGAGTTAATGGATTCTTCGTTGCGAGGGAATTATCCATTTGAACTTGCTATGTTTGTGGTCGAAATTATTGAGAGTTGTTTAAAGAAGGATCCGGGAAATCGTCCTGCGATGAATGAGATTGTATCGGCTTTGTCAAGAACATTAAACTCTTCATTGAGTTGGGAAATGTGAGTGAATGTTGCTAGATACTAAAGGGATAATACTTAATAGTTAGATCAGTTGGTGATGTTTCTGTGTTTGTTAAGTTCTGGTTTTTTTTACCAGTATGTTATGTTGTATGATAGTACTAATGTGTAGGATTTTGTAGATCAGCATGTATATAAATTTGATGTATGGTGTGAAGATGAATGAATAAGAATTTTAGCTTTTTCAAGTGTAATAGGGCAAGTCCATACATGATCATAATCTGGTTCCATGTTGGTTAATAGTTATTAGTATTATTTGGTATTATAGAAATCAAAATAGATTTAGCAATAAACTCTACCATTGAAAACTGGCTATAAATAAGACTATCTCTTGGATTTCCCTAGATGGTAACCACATCAAAGCAAGTGCCTCCTCTTCCATAAGGTAAATTGTAATTCTCAAAGCTTACAAAGTTTAGATACATCCTAGAAAGGAGCCTATGATCAAACAAATTATCTGGTACACTCCTGTTTTTCATTGGGCCCAATTACACTTAGATAGTGGCTTGAAAACATTGAAGAGCCAAAAGAAAACTGAATTGGTGTATGTAGGAAGGAATCCCCTTCACAAACCACTCCTCCAAATTTCATAACTCATTAAAACTGGCGATATATATATATATATATATATATATATATATATATATATATATATATATATATATATATATATATATATATATATACTTAATCGAGAGGACCATGATGGTCACCCATGTCCTAACGTGGCTCCGCTACTGACTTAGATTGATCTGTTTTAGGTTGTTCAAAACCTGATGGTTATTGAGGAATTTTCAAAAACAATAACCAAATATTCTTTAAATTACTTTGTTGTTAATATTGGTACTGCAAATATACTTCTTTATTTCTTTTTTTTATTTTATAAATTCAAGCTTTTCATTCAAAGAAAAACAAAAGAGACATTACAAAAAGTTTCTATTCTGACTGTTGGAATGCAAAATGTATTAAGTACAAGTATATGTAGTATTTTTATAAGGGTAGGAGATACTCAGAGGTCTTAGTAAGTTATAACAATTAGAGTTTGTCTGCGATGGCGAGAGGCCTTGTATGGTGGTGTTAGATTATTTACGTTGGTTTTATAGGGTCAATTCATGTGAGGTGAGAAGCTTTGTATGTAAGTATTGTGCTTAAGGTATGAATGTTTTTTCTTTCTCCAGTTATGAGTGAGATATTTACGGGCCCTTAGGCCTAGGGTTTCTTTAGAAATGATAGTCTTTTAGTAGTCAGTGATGGACGATTGAATCTCTACTTTTTAGGAGGACGTGGATCAACTATTGACCTTGACTGCACTCTGGCTAAAAAATGTTTTTCTCCACGTTTCTCACGACTAGGCAATTTGGAGACGCATAGGGCAATGGGATTCTCCTAAAGGGCGACATATATGGTCCTCGCCTCTTCTGAGGACTATAGCCCTCCTGCCTTTGGCTAGGCCTTTTACAAAAGCGAAGTGCTTTTAGACTACAATGTTGGACATATGCCTCCACACGCAAGAGAGGGGTGAATTGTGTGTTTAAAAAAATATTGAGTTTGAAAAACTTTTAAGATTAATTTCAGAGTTTGAAAACATTTTAGAAAAGTTTTAGAAGTAAGCAACGGGAAATAAAATGCGGAAATTAAAAAGTTAAGAGATAGAAAGATAACATCAGAATTTATAAGGGGTTCGTTCAAAAGAAAAAGACCTAATCGTCTCCCCAGGATTTGTTCTTAAGAATGTCCAATATTCTTAAGAGTTTTTAGTAACCCCTTTATACAAGGAAAAATGAAGTTTATACTTTCAACCAAACAGTAAACACAAAGAGAAACGGTGAGTCTTCCATCTAATCGATGGATCAAAATAGTTAGTCTTTTTTCCCACAAGAAACTTGGAGCTGTTAATCTTCAAGTTTCAAACCAAGATTTTACGAGGGTTGATCATGAACCTGAGTGAGCTTTTAATCCGGTCCAAACTCACGAACATAGGAGATTTTATATCTGCATGATCTCCAACCTTAGTAAACTTTTAATATCGGGATGAGCTTACGAACCGAAAAGAGATTTTACACATGATAACCACCAACCAAGTTGAGATTTTAATACTGATCTGATATCGACAAATGAAGATTTTTAAACATGTCGAGCCTTCAAACTAAATCGATTACTTAGTAACTAAATCCCCAAATCCAAGCTTTTAACTGGTTCATCTTCGTGCCCAAATAAATAATCTCTAAATAGTTGAATTATTCAACCAAGGCAAAATAAAACTTCCTTAGTGAATTTACAACACTACTCTTCCATAATTACAAATGTCTCACTTGCAAAATAAATTTCTCGAAAGTGCTACAACTAAATTTGAGTGAGAGAAAGTAAAAAAATATTTTTTTGAGAGAGTGAGGAGTGAAGTATGAGAACTCGCGTTTATGGATGCGAAAATATGAGAGAAGAGACTTCTATTTATAGGTTAGAGGTTGACAAAAAAAAATTTTTTTTTGCCACCTGAATTCATGAGTCAATCGATTGGCATATGCACCAATTGATTGATTGGCATAAAAATAATTGATTAGAAAGTTTCAAAAGGCAAGAATATATATATGTGTGTGTGTGTGTGTGTGTGTGTGTGTGTGTGTGTGTGTGTGTGTGTGTGTGTGTGTGTGTGTGTGTGTGTGTGTGTGTGTGTGTGTGTCACCGTTTATTAAGATGTTGTCGTAAACGTTTAGGGCACGTTTACACTAACTCAATTGATTGGGTAAAGTGCGAATCGATTGGTAAGAACAAAAAATTGCCCAAAAATTTTCTAACAACTCCCAAATCACCTGACACGACTTCATGATATTTTTAGAATTATTTTCTTGAGAAAAATAAGTTGCAAAAGTTGTTTTGGTGTATGTGTGTTATTAGTCGTATAACTTTATGAGAAAGCCTTAATATTTTACAATACTTATTTACTCATTTGCGTCTGGACGAGCTTTGACACACTTCAAGACTTATCATATGCCTAAATATTGCAGACACTTTCTTGAAGTTTACTTTGAGATGATGCTTGAGTTGTATTTCATTTAGGTTTCACAATTAAAGAGTCAAAGCTTATCAAACTCTATTGATTTGCTTGCATCATTAACCATTTTATACTTGACTTTAGTTGTTATCATCAAAGTCTAGTTGTAATTATTAAAAGTATGTTCATCTTTAATAGAGCTTCCTTGATCAATAACTTGTAAAGCATGATTCCACATTCTCTCCATTTTTGATGATGACAAGGCATCTCTCATTTAAATGGTAAAAGAGACAATAGATATATGTTTGGATTGATTAAACTCCCCCTCAATTAATTAGAAAGTATACTTTACTCCTCTTGAGAGTATACTTCTCTCTCTATAGACAGGGGCGGACACATGTTGAGCCATGGTGTGGCTATAGCCACACAAATTTTTTAATTTTTTTAATATTTATATATATATGTAATATATTAGATTAAATATAAAATTTTAACTTAACTAATTTTCTTTCTTTTCCTCTCTCACAATTTCACATTTCTTCTCTGTCTCAAACCTCACCATCAGTATTTTAAAAATTGAACCGGTCATCAAATCGACGAAAGTATTGTGTCACTGGTTTATTAACCGAACGACCGGGTCATTGGTCGAATTACATGATTAAATTTGATTAAATCAGATAACTCAGTTAAATAAAATAGTCTCTATAACAAAATTATATAGTTATTAAATCGGACGAACCATATGAGTTGATCTCTAAAAAAAGTCATGAGACCTTAGAAATTTTAAAATATCATAATTTATAAATTCACTCTTTGAATTCAAATTTTAAATATAGTGATCACACACAACAAAATAGTACACAATAGAAAATAACGGAATAAAATATCGTAATGTTTAGATTGCAAGTCAATTATAAAGATTGCAAGGCTTCTTAATGCATTCAGACGGCGGTTGATGCTGCTAACTTTGGTAGAATCTCTCATGCTGAAACGGCGAAGGACACGTGAGATATTTTGGTCAAGTATTATGAAGGGGGTGAGAAAGTTAAGATTGTCAAGTTGCAGACCTTACGTCGATAATATGAATTGTTGTTAATGGGAGAAGACGAAAAAGTTGCAAAATATATTTCGAAGGTCCCGAAACTCGTCCATCTCATAAAGGATTATGGTGAAACCATAACTGATAAGATGATAGTTGAGAAGGTAATGCGAACATTGACCTCTCACTTTAATCACGTTATTGTAGCTATTCAAGAATCCAATCAACTTAAAACCCTAAAACTGGAAGATTTGGTTGGTTTGTTGGAAGCACATTAGATTAGGATAATCGACAGGAAAGGAGTTCAAGACTCGATACAAGCTCTGCAAGTTCAATCATGGAAAACGAATGGTAATTCCAAAAAATTCAAAGGCGGAGTCAACAATTCTAAAGGAAATAAGTCTTGGTCGAAGCCTTACAAGCATCAGGTCGAAGATAGAGCTTCTGAATCCTCGAAAAGAGGGGGAGGAAACTATCGAAAGGAAAAAAAAGATAGGAAACATATGCAGTGTTATAACTGTGTAAAGTGGGATCATTTGGCCAAGAATTGTTGGTATAGGAAACACAAGGGATCAACAGGCAAGGACGAATAAGCGAATCTTGCACGCCAAGGCTCAGATGATTCTGAAGGTATGGTGGTTATGGCTGCAATACTAGATAACCATGTCAAATCCAAGATCTGGTTCCTCGACTAAGGCTATTCAAATCACATGACTGGTCAAAACGTGTGGTTGGTAGATTTCGACGAGTCGAAGAAGAGCAAGGTAAAACTTGCTGATAATAGTTTGTTGCAAGTAGAAGGTACTAGCAACATAGTTTTTCAAATGAGTAATAGAGGGAAATTTATGATCAAATATGTTCTCTATGTACCTGGAATAAAGCGCAACCTGTAACACCCTTCTAAACCCAATGAAGTATTCATAATTTTTTAAAACAATATCAGAGTAATAAAAAA